TGTCGCTGGATTCCCATGTAGTTGACCATGGTTCGCGTCCCAGACCCGGTGGCTTAAAACTCACGCTGGACGAGTGTGTGTGCGTGCCCAAGATCCCGAGAGGAGAATGGAGGAGAAGGGACTGCGGCATGGCCATCCCCCATGGGGGGTGATTTCTCGCTTTCTGTCTGTCTGTCTCTGTCTGGCGAGCGCACGCGCCCTTAAAAAAAAAAAAAAAAAAAAAATTGTATAAAAACAAATATGTTATCTGAATATTTTAAAACATTAACCTTAAAAAATAACCACTGGTAAGTTTTTCAAGCAAATGAAATGCAAATTTAAAACATTTAAAATTTTTTAAAGTTTAAATTCATTGTCTTACATAAAGAAATTAAAATTATTATAATTTTATTTTGAATAAAGCTATACTGTACCTGGTTGCTACCATGGCCAAAAGGAGTACTAGATAAATTAGTGGTTACACTGTGCAAAATAATTTCACCACTAAGCGATCCAGAAGCAATGTAGGAATCATTCCAATTGTACGTCACACAAGTTACTTCACCTTTATGATCCTGAAAGAAAAGTGAAAGTAAGTCTACCATTCCATGATAGTCAAGCTGCCCATTTTAATGTTTTTGTAAATACCAAATATTACATATTTTTCACTGTAACATTTGCTTAATATTTTCCTTGAATAACTTTAAGAAATTACTCAAATGGATATCTGGTCAACACCAAGTCTTCTTATGAAGAGATTTTTTTTTCATAATAGATTTCATAAATAGATTTATTTTTCATAACAGTCCTGGCACTCTGAAAAAATGAGATATTATGGAAAGGTAATTTTCTAAATGACCTTATGTCAACCTTAAAGAATTCACTTCCACTGATGAATAGAATAACATTTACTGCAAGTTGACTATCATGAGAGGCCCTGCCTTTGAGAGTATTACACTCCACTGGAGAAGATGGGACACTTGAATTAACATAAGAATGGCAGTAAATGCTGAATGAGCTGTAGAGGCCAAATGTCAGAGGACAGAGGGTTGAGAGAGGGGGCTTTACAGGAGATAAAAAGCTTGAGTTCAACTAACACAGAAGATAAGAGAGAAGTCCAGGGAAGCGAAAAGAAGCCATGCATTGCCAAAGATAGAGAAGAACAAATTAACAAGGCAAGTTTGAGCAATAATACCGCCTGCTTCCATTTGCTGAGTACTGACTTGTGCTGGAAGCTTCATATATTACTACTTAATCCTTAGAAAATCCTGAGCGGCAAGGCCATTTCTGCACATTTTACACATGAGGTTCGGAAAGGAACTTGCGAAAGCTTAGTAACTACCAAGTGAAAGAGCCAGAATCTAATTCCACGTCAAACTCTAAAGTCTACATTCCTTCCACTAAACCAGGCTGCCTCTCAAGTCCAAATGGTAATCCACTTTGAGAAAATAACTGTTGGGTTTAAAACAAACTGGATTCATAAGAACTATTTTGCAACATGGAATTAGAGATGTCTAGCAGAAGCACAGAAAAGAGATCAGGGTTAGGAGGACAGTTTTATTTATTTTTGAAGAATTACTTTATTTACTTTTATTTGTTATTACTTTCCAGTTGGATCACAGAGAGAGAGAGAGAGAGATATGGAGAGAGAGAGGGAACATGAAAAAGCAAGCCACCAGGTCCAGCACTTGAACCGCAGTCAGCCATGTGGGAGTCCAGTGCCTATAACCACCATGCCACCTGCCAGCCCCCAAGGAGGACAGTTCTAAGTTTGGTGCTACATCTTAGTAAGATAAACAAACTAACCTTTATATCTAATAATTAGATTCATGTAACAGCAAGAATAGCAGCTAGACTATTACACTTATATTACAACTTCTTCAAATGACCCTTTGAGCACTTTCAGAGGGTTTTTTTCTTGCATTTTATTTTTATTCTATATTGAAACAATTGCTGTCTTGAGAAAAAAAAAAAGGCATTTGAAGTAAAGAAAAAAGGAACAACAAACATTTTGTGCATCATTCCCACTGGGGAAATTAAAACTGTGGGGTTCAATACAATTTCTATGGCTCCATAAAGAGGCAGATGTCTTCCTAATTTTAACTGTGGAAAATAAGACAATTGGTAAACATTTACTAAGCACCTACCAAGTGCTAGAAATTGTATCAAATAGCCAGGGAACGGACCATGGAGGAAGGAAAAAGGTGAAAGTTAGGTTTTCTCTCACTCACAACCTGTCAGTCAAATACTCACTAGCTGAATGCATGAGGAAATAGAACACTCTAAGAATTTAAAAGAGAAAAAGCTTCCTAATGTAACCGGGAAAGCTAATGACAGAAACGTGAGCAGAGTCTGCTGTGCAGGGATGGAGTAAATGAAGCTTCGAAAATATGTGACAAAACTAGCCAAAGACTAATGTCTTGTCAACTCTGTAAGAAACTCACTGTTCACAGTAGGTGTATTCGTCTAAGTACCTTTAAGTAAAATATTTTATAATTTAAGACTAGATAATGAGTAGTATCTGGGTTTGCATCTCATCTCTGCCATTGTTGGCTGTCTGACAGAACAATTTGGTAACAGCTGACTCAATTTCTCCATCTGTGTAAAGGGGTAATAATACTGACTAAGTTTCACAGAGTTGTTGAGGAGAATAAACATTTGTAAGCACAGTGGCTGGCATATCGAAAAACTCAGTAAAGGTGAACTATTCTCATTACTGGCAACTTTGTAATTAGCCATCTACTCCACAGCTATTTTAGAGTTAAGATGCTTGAAAGTTTAGCTAGCCCTAAAATCCTGAACATCCAATGGTAACACTTAAACAGCAAATATAGGATTATATTTCAACTTAGCTAAAAGAAAGCCATTCTCATACATACCGTTTCTCCAGTAAGAATTAACCCAATGGCATTCTGACATTAGAGAAAATGATAATAATGTCTGGTATTTGCTACGAAATAATACGGGTATATGAAGAGAGTGGGCGAGCCATAGGTCTACTGGCCGTGATGATCACCACTGACGTCACACGGTGACTCCATGGATGACGGGTTAACAGAAATGTGTTTCCTATGTACGTACATGTAGGTGTGTATTGGTCTACATTTCTTCATATTAAAACAGTTCTAAAGTTTCAAGTAACTTTAAGGAACAAATTGTAAATATTATAAAGATGTACAATGTAAAGTAGAATTCTGCAACGTCATGGTCAGAGACTTTCCGCAATGAATAATTTTTTTTTGCTGAAATTGCAAAGGGCTAAAGAAATATTAGTTGTAAATAGTAAATTATTTTAGAAGATATTTCATTACCAACCTGAAAATACATGCACACAAAATAACAAATACTGCTACCAAATACACTGCAGAATGAAGAAGCCAAATCACTGACTACGGTTACTGGACTGAACACTACCATCCCCAAACCACCATCGTTTTTCCAGTATGCCTTAACAAAAGGTCCCTAATGGCAACAAACCATACTCCAGGAAAAAAGAAGTAACTCAAATTAGAAATAGAAAAATCTTTAAATACTGAAAATGTATGTTAATGACATAAATCAAGAAAAGAAAACAAGACAAAAAAGTTTTTGGCTAAAAGCATCTTTATTTTCCTTCACGTCTTACTTCCATCCTAAGCATCTTATTTTTAATCACAACTGCTCAAAATTAAAATTGTTAACTACACTAAACACATTGTAAAATTTTATGTAAAGATTTATTTAAAAGCTGCTTACCTTAAGAGATCGATGGACTCTTTTTGATTTTAAATCCCAAATATTTACAGTATTATTTAGGCCTCCGCTTACCAAATACATAGATGTGGAATTTAAATTGACACATGTCTGCTTTTGCTATAAAAAAAAAAAAAAAAAAAAAGTTACCTTAGTTTAAGAGCCCAGTGCTAACTTTCAGGTTTCATCCAACAATTAATAATAGGCACATGATAAATATCTATGGAATTAATGCTACATGAACAGGCTAATACTTGTACAAAAGATTCACCTCTCAACATCTTCCACGTAGACCCAGCAGTCTGCAAAAAGATCAAAAAGACTTCAAGCAAATTAAACATATTCATGTGTTCTTTCATAGGATGGTGATTACAAAGGACACTAATGAAATACAAAATATATTTTGGCCTCCCATCAGCGTTTAGTTGCCCTTCATATCTCCCCTTGATAAAACCTAGTCTTATATCTCCACAGATTATCTTGAAGTCAGTTTTGAAAAAAATTACACAGGAATTTCAAAACATTTTTGTGCCAAAATAAACTGCAACTTTAATTCAGTTTTCCACAAACTTCTTGAAGACCCTGCATACAGCCCTGCATTTGCTTCAAGGCTTCTGTTAGACAACTTTTCTCTTTCCTAAAAAACTGACTTCACTGGACCTTGGCTGGATGGCATTTTCCAATCTCTCATCAGAATGTCAGTTTCAATAAGGAAAGACCATATTCATGCTCAACAAATACTTAGAGCATAGCTAAAAATACAGAGGTTATGGAGTTACCACAAGGAGTACCTATGAGTAGCTTATTGGGTGGTTCCATAATTAACTATGCTACACACTAGAATACAATGTTACATGTTTTCTTTGTATTTAAGCCATAGATGCACTGTGAAGTTATATCAATTGTTACCTCCAGTTAAATGCTATGAACAAAACAAAACAGTGAAATGAAATCCAGAGCTACCATTTACAACTTGGTTAAAAGTGAAAAGGCAATCAATCTATATATGTTTAGACCCTGGTATGAGTCCTGTACGTGGTGGCTTGCTTTCTTGCTTTCTCGCTCTCTCTCTCTTTCAGTGTCTCTTTCTGGTCAAATTAAAATAAAGAGAATTAAATAATTCTTTAAAAAAAGAATCCATGCATCTCAAAAACATTCTCTGCTCAAGAAAGATTCTTAAAAGGCGCAGATGGTCACTTCCCTACCCTCATTGGACCATTCAAGGTTTCTCTAGCTCAGAATTTCTTACCAAGGGTATCAGCTAACACATACACATAGCAGGAGGCACAAACATCAGTGTTTCAGTACAGCTGCTCTAATTCTCTTGCAGGGACCACCATTCTAGGAACTGACTTTGGTCTACAGTGACTAAATAAGATTTAGAATCAGGACAGTGTATAAGAAATATGAAAATAATCTTCAATGAAAATAAGACCACAATGGTGTCAAAGATCAATATATTGAGATTACAATGGTCACAACAACTACAATTAATCTTAAGGGCTTGGAACCAAAACTGATAATAGCTGGCTTACTCTGTTGACAGAAGTTTGGGGGTTTTTTTGTGCTTTTTTTTTTTTTTTAAATACTAATGTACTATTAATGTGGCTGAAGAACTTAAATAATTAATGGAAATTGTAGTGTTATTACAGGAATCTGGTACTCCCAAAGATACAAGGCAATAGGTACAATTTTTAAAAACTAAAAATAACAGCTGGTCAATTTTCTAAGTTATGTAGTAGCCTATCATATCCATTATAATGCTATCAACACCAATCCATCTACTTTAAAGAGGTAAAATACCAAGTCAAAAAAAAAACCAAAAACATCAACTTAAAGTTCCACTCTAAAAGCAATTTTGAAATAAGTAGGATTAACACACCAATATGCTATAAGAAATTACTAATCAAGGCTAAAGAACCAATGTTTGCACTTTTTTAATAAATTAATACACATTAAAATGCAGAAGAACTAAAAAGATCTCACTTTTGATCATGTGGGAAAAGTGGGCTAAGAATAATGGCAATTAATTTAGAATATTCATAAAACCCTTAGAATTGTATCATACTTGTGAATATCATCTGTTACTCTTATACTTTCAGGAGAAAAAAAAAAAACCTCAAATATTGATTTTAGGATTCTAAGGCACAGTGCATAAACACAGTGCACATATATAGTGGTAATAGAAGTAAAAACTATTTTGGTGTTGACATTTAACTTCAAGAAGTGTTTGCTGACCGCTTTCTATAAGATCGGACGATTCAAAGATAACTAAGATAGTTCAACTGCTCTTAAAAAATTCAGTCTGCCTTTTATCAACTAGGGGCATTCTCTGCCTTGATTTTACTTTAATTTGAATAGGTAGCCTGCTTCAAATTTCATTTCTACCTTTAACAGATGTTCTGTCTGTCTCAATACCTGTGGGTTGGGACTAAGATTCACACCAATCCCACCAGATACCCTGAGGGAAGGACAGATAAAAAAATCCTAAGTCTTCTTTAAATTAGTTGATCTTATATTCTATTATCTTGCTATTCTCCTAATTAGGCTACTTCATCTATCCCTGTGTATAAAATTCTGACAATTCAAATGATCTGAGGATTGCTATGAAAATTTTGAAATTAAAAAAAGAACAAGCTACCAACTACTCATACCTTAAAGATCGTATCTTATTTTAAAAAAAAGAGGAGTATGTGTGACTGTAAATGAGGACACCAGTATTGCTCTGAATTAGAGAGATTAACTTATAAAACAAAAGGATAAAAAAGCAATATGCAGTGAGAGCTTCATTTAAATGCTCTGGGACCAAAGTTTACCCTGTGGAAGTCATCCTGCTCAAGGAGAGTTTGGGGAGGCTCAGGAGGTAAGCCTTAGTACTACCTGGGCAGAGCCTGAGGTCAAAGGCCACCGTCACACACAGGGGTCTTTTGTTATGGTCTTTAGCCCAAGGTCAATAAAGCAGTGCTACCTCATTATGGTTCATATGTCACCAGAGTAACCTGGTAGGACACAGTCCTACAACAGGAAGCGATGAGGTCCTGCAGAGGGGAAATGGAGAAAGCAAGTGCCTAGTTAAAATCCAAGCCCTTAATTGCTGCCCTAGGTAGGACCGAGTCTGATTTTACCTAAAGACGCTTCAGTAGGCACAAATACCTTGCCTGTGAGTGTTACTGTGTTATTCTGAGCTTAGGTTAAAAGTGATGTCTTTAAACATCTTTGTAAATAGTTGTAAGCACCTTAATGAATAAATAACTCCCACTCAAGAAGAACTGGTTTTTGAAAGTTAAAAAAAAAAAACAAAACACTTACCCCTTCAGCAAGCTCTAAAAGTGGAACAGGTTTACATTTGCAACTTGAAACAACTATCTTGTCACCACTGGAAGACGCAGTCACTAAAAAGTTATCTAAATGAAGAGTTAGGGAGCATGAAACAATCCAAGGCATTTACACCAGATACTATTGTAAGAACTATAGAACTATAGGCATAAACGCAAATGCACTGAGAAGACAAGCAAATTAACATAGTTCATATATCAGTTTTCAAAAATGGCTTAGGTTACTAATTACTGAGACTGATTCTCTTTGCAGCTACTGCAGGGGAGAACTATCCTTTCTGGCTGTACCATCACTTGAAAGCTCTTTAACCCATGTGAAATACTACTCCATTTTCAAAGAGTAGGCCAGATGATCTAATTTTATCCTTCAAGAATGAGAGCATGATAAAAGCAACGTCAGCAAATATCAGTCAGCCTTTTCATCTACAAAAACTGTTCAAGATAGTTAATTTATTAACCCAGTATTTGGTATCACCTTAAGCTAGTAAACAAACATCCATATTAGTATCCTATTTTTCCACAAAACATATAAAGGCTTATATTTTCTTTGGACTGGAATTTCTGTGGTAGGATACTTCAGTCTTTAATGTATCAAGAACAAATATTACAGTTACCACCGCAAACACAAATGGGTGCAGTTAAATAGAAAACTTATATGTTATGGAGTTTTATTTTAAATATAATTTTAATTTTAAATTATATTTACCTTATTTTATATAAATTATAAGGGGAACAATCAGTAACATAAAACAACGTAAGCTTTTAAAACTAAAATGATTAAACAAAATAAAATAATGAAGAAAAGGAGTCTGAATTTTAGTAAGAAAAATTAAAATATTAGAAGTTTAAACTATGTTGGGGGACCAGTAGTTAGCGTAATGGCTATGTCACTGGACTCCCATGTAGTCAATCACAGTTTGAATCCTGGACCAGTGGCTTAAACTCACGCTGGGCGCATGTGTGTGCGTGCCCAAGATCCCGAGAGGAGAATGGAGGAGAAGGGATTGGGGCATGGCCATCCCCCCCTGGGGGGTGATTTCTCTCTTTCTGTCTCTCTGTCTTTCTCTTTCTTTCTGGAGAGCACACACATCCTACAGCAAAAACCTCTCCAAGAAAAGAAGAAGAAAAAAGAAGTTTAAACTATGATTTTTAGCTAGCAAAGTCTGAGTAAAAGCAATGGAAAAAGGCTAGTAAGGGAAAAAGGAAGGGCTTGTGGCGGTGCGGCCATTTCTCCTGTCTTTGGACTCTGCGCTCTCGCAGGGCTTCCAGCAGCGCCATGCTAAGGACAGAGCATCCGGAGGTTCACGACCTCCGTGGTCCCCAGGAGCCACTTTGAGGAGGCCCGGGGAAGAATCTTTTCAGTGGAAAACAAGTGGCGGTTACTCGTTATGATGACTGTGTACTTTGGATCTGGATTTGCTGCACCTTTCTTTATAGTAAGACACCAACTACTTAAGAAATAAGGATGTTCTAATTCATCCATTTAATAGATATGAAGAACATTTTAAGAGGCGCAGTCACAATCTCTGGAAAATGGGTGAAACTCTTAAACTCATAGCATACTGAATATGTTTGTAAATAAACTTATGAACTGAAAAAAAAAAAGCTAATAAGACACTCAGTATCCTAACTACATTGTTTTTAGTTGGTCTGCACAATACTTATTTTGTAAATAAATCTAGATTATAATTTCATTATCATACAAACAAAATAATGTCTATCTAGAAATTACAACATTAAGAGAACTAGCCAACGGCATAATGGTTACATCACAGGACCCCCATGTAGTCGACTGCAGTTCGAGTCCCAGACCCAGCAGCTTAAAACACACTAGGCGCATGTGCATGCATGCCCAAAATTCCAAGAGGAAAATGGAGAAGGGACTGCAGCATGGCCATCTCCCAGGGTAATTTCTCACTTTCTGTCTCTGATGAGCATAAGCACTCTATAGCAAAAATCTCTCTCTAAAAAAAAAAAATCACAGTATTGAGAAATTAGCTTCTTTCTCTTTTTTATTTAACTTTTATACATTGTTATTATTATTTTAATTTTTTGCTATAGGGCATACATGCTCACTAGAGGGAGGGAGACAGAGAGAAAGAGAGAAAGAGAGAAAGCAAGCCTCCAGGTATGGAACTCAAACTATGGTCAGCCATCTTATTATTATTTTAATTTTTGCTATAGGGCATACATGTTCACTAGAGGGAGGGAGACAGAGAGAAAGAGAGAAAGAGAGAAAGCAAGCCTCCGGGTATGGAACTCAAACTATGGTCAGCCATCAGAGTCCAGAGCCTTAACTACCATGCCACCTGCTGGCCTACTTCTTCCTCTTTTTACCACTACTTTTTTCCTTAGAATATAGAAAAGGAACTAAAAGATAATATGAGAGGATAATCTAGTTACGTTCTAAAGTTCCTTCCATGAGATGGCGAGAGAGACAGCAGATCAGCTAGTCCCAGATTATGGGCATGTATCTACCCATCACACTCAGGAAGTTTCCAGACATGAGCCGAGAACCTTCCCATGTGGGTCGGCATCACAGAGCACTGTGTTTTACTACTGTACCACCATCTAGCTCCTACAGTTACTTTTCTTATTTCTCTTATAGAAGTGGTAAGAAAGTGAGGAACATTATCTAAAGGATAAAAAAAGAAAAGAAAAGAAAAGAGAAAACTAACGTCCTGGTACCTCAATCTATGCTATATGAACCCCATGTAATTGAGGCTGGGGACTTTTGTGCTTCAGTAACTAACTTCCATGGAAGGAATCAAAGCCTCATTAGGAATAAGACTATCTGAAGGCTTTCAGTATACATCTTCTCACACAAAAAAACTGTACAGAAACATGACCAGTTTCCAAAAGTCACATCATACTACCTCACTGTCACATCAGTTTTGTTGCTAGACCATCAGTGAGTATGTTATAAATGCCAACTCCCAGGAAAACTCTTTGGAACAAAAATAAACCTAATAATAATTATAAAAATAAATCTCATTAAGAAGTGCTCATTTTTCCTATGTGTCAGGGAAAATTAAGCTCTAAATATAATCTAAAAATAGAGTAGCAACTTCCATTTTTCACTCTCTTTAACAGTTTCCCTACTAAACATCTGAATGGTCCTTCAAAAATGTAGCCACTTCACCATGTGTTCTTCAATAGACCATCAAAGTAATTTACTTTACTACTTTAATAGAAAATCAAGGAATGATAACGAGGCCATTTTAATTCACTGAGCAAATGTGTCATTTCTGTCAATATATTTACAGAAATTACTAGGCTGGGAATAAATATTTCTAATATTTTTGTTCATGAATCAGTGATATTTTAAAGGTCTGATATTTTTCTTTTCATCAGGAAGTAGATATTAATACTTTGGTGTTGATAAGATCAAATAGATGTTAAAACTAAATTCTTTAAGAAACACTGTATTGGTACTGGCCAAGTGGTCTGGTGGTTAAGGCACTAGACTCTCACAAGGTCAACCATGATTCAAGTCCCAGACCTGGCAACTTGCTTTCTCACTTTACCTTTCCTTCTCTCTGTCTCTGCTTGGTCAAATTAAAAAATAATAATAGATAAAATAAACAATTCTTAAAAGTATATGGGTCACAAAATAATTTCTAGCATACCAAATAAATAGAACCTTTTCACACAAAAGGTGAGAGTTTCATTTACACCAATAGCTCTCCACTGGAGGTTATTCTGGCAATTGTAGGCACAATTTTGAGTGTCACAGCTGGGAACCACAGATAACTAGTGAGTGAAGGCCAGGGAAGCTTCTAAACATCTTACAATGCAAAGTAAAGCTGCTACAACAAAAAATGACCTGGCCTGAAATGTCAATAGTGTATAGTTCAGAAATTACTTTCCAGACTTTGCTTCTCATTCATTTTATCTTTTTTTTTTTTTTTTTTTTAAGAAAGAGAAATTTTTGCTATAGGGGAAGACACTTGTGCTTGCCAGAGAGACAGAAAGAGAGAAATCACACACCCAGGGGAATGGTCACACCAAAGTCCCTTCTCCATTCTTCTCTCTGGATTTGGGCACACATACACACACGCCCAACATGAGTTTTAAACCGCCAGGTCCTGGACTCGAACCACAGTTGACTATGTGCAAGTTCAACAACATAACTACCACACCATCTGCTGATCCCTCTTTACCCACATTTAGGAGCTCACCAAGACAGATGGGACTTCAATCAGAAACATAAAATATCTTGGGAAGAAACTAAACCTAGATAATTTTACTATATCTGTTTGGTAAATATTACTTGCATCTCAGACAGAAAGGAAAGAGAAATACAGAATATGTCAGAAAGACAGGGATGGTACACTTTTTCTATCTCCTCTCCATCTTGCCTCTGTTTTTAAGTTCTATCTTTAATTTACAGATCAGATCCACAAATATCCATTTATATCCACAAATGTAGATATAAAAACTCACTCCAAAAACCTTTCAGATTTTCCCCCCCACCATTAACTATTCTATTCCATGTGGTTCAGTAACAAACTGCTGATAACAAATAATTCTATCATCTGGATTTATTAACTACTATACATTTTTAAAACAGCAGTGCTTTTTAATAAAGTGGGTTGCAACTAAAGTTTATTTTCAATGAAATCATCAGAGAACATCAGAGTGTATTCATATGTACTGTTTCTTAAACTACTATTTCACTTTATGTAACTTTGGGAGCAATGCAACATACATTTTTAATTATGGGTCACATGAAAAAGGTTCATTGAAACTGGTTGTTCAATAAAAAGTGGTTATTTTTTCCCTTTTAAAGAAAGGATACTGTTGCTACTCCAACACATTGAGCTGATTCCATGTGGTGAGGTATGTGGGTTGAATTTATCCACCAATGTCATAGATGAAGCATCCCATATTTTAATATCATCTCCCGACGAAGCAAATCTGAGGTTTTCCTGCATGACTTCACCTACAAATAGTTTTAAATAATTCATTTTAAAAATAAAGAGGGTGTTATAACAGGCAGCTCTACTGGTCAACTTTTATTCCAAACAGTGTACTCAGCACAAAGTGGTTCTAGCGATCTTACAAAATATATCAGATCTTATTCTCTTCACTGTGAAATCCAATCTCCTAACCTTGTCTTCCATGACCTGACCCCCATGTAACTCTCCTGTCTCTCCTCTCTGGGTCCACTAGATCCTACAACAGACACATTACAAAGTGGTTCTAGCGATCTTACAAAATATATCAGATCTTATTCTCTTCACTGTGAAATCCAATCTCCTAACCTTGTCTTCCATGACCTGACCCCCATGTAACTCTTCCTGCCTCTCCTCTCTGGGTCCACCAGATCCTACAATAGACACATTGGCCTTCTTTCTGTCTCATGCCAACAAAGGCAATGGTATTCTCACCTCAGTGTCATTTCATTTGCTGCCTCCTCTGCCTGGAATGTTTTCCACTATCATCTCCTTCTCATCACTCTTGTCTCAGTTCAAATGTCTCTTTCTCTAAAAGGTGTTCCCTGACCACCAGCACTAAAGTGGTCCCCAACCAAGTACCCCATATCTCATTATCTTTTTCTTTTTCTTTTTTTCCCCCCGGTCAGTTTCTGCTATAGGACTGTGTGTGCAGGTCATAGAGAAAGAGAGAGGAAAAGTGAGAAATCACCCTCAGGGAGGACAGGCACGTCACAATCCCTTTTCCTCCAGTCTTCTTGGGATTTGGGGCACACATGCACACGTGGCTGGCATGATCTTGATGTTGCTGGGTCCACGATTCAAAATGCATAGTCAGTCATGTGGGATCCAGTGCCTTAACCTCCATGCTACCTGCTGGCCCATTTTTTTTCTTTTTTAATGGCACATCTTACTATCTGAAATTCTCTTTGTTATCATAACAACATCTGCTCTCCATACCAGTCCTGAAACATCCCTGGTACATAGTAGGTATTCAAGAAATAACTGTTAATAAGTAACCTTCTAATCTTTCAAAAAGGTGTGATAAACTAGCATCCCCGCAGGTCACAGTCCAAATAGTTTTTCCAAATAACTCTAAAATTAGCAATCTGGTCAAAGAAGATGCCCTTAAATCCCTAGGTCAATATTTGGTTTACAATGCCCTTGCTCACATTATTTATTCTCGGTATATAATTCAAACACATAACTCGAACAAGGTGATTTCACAAACCAAGGCAGTCTGGAAGACAGAAGACAAGAAAGCTGCTGTAGGGAGGAGATACTCAACAGAGCAACAAATAGTAACTGAGACAGGTGTGGGGGGAAAATACTCAAAAAAGGGAAAAGGAGGGAGGGCATAGAAATACAGACTGCACACCTTCCCACTAGGGACAGTTCGAGTGTACTACAAAGCATTAGTGATGTCACAGACAAGTCCTCAAGTCACCAAAAATCACATTATGTCTAGTTTACTATTTACTCCGTTTCAGAAAACAAGTTAGATATAATAAATTATAGGGACTTGTCACTCTCAAGAGAAAAAAAAGTTTTATGTGAGTAAAACTCAGTGCTTCATGGGTTCATTCATCAAATACAGTGCTGCCACTAAAGCGACCTGTTGAAACCTGGGCGGTGTTTGGACTTGGTGTCTTAAACACGTGTAAAGTGCTTTCTTGGTTCCCTACTCAGTGACCAATGGAAAGGCAATCTCCAAGCCAAGTAAACACGACTGCAAGATGCCTCTGCCATAATCGTAGACCAGACCCATTGGGCGGCGTGGTGTAGTGGGCAGATCACTGAAGCCAGCGCTCAGAAAAAACAGGGTTCAAAACGATCTGTCCCAATTTGGGCAATATAACTCTGGTCGAAGCACTTAATGCCTGTTTCGTTCTTTGACACAGAGGCAGGGAAGGGGCCCATCTGAGCACATTTACGTCAGAGGCATCAGTCCCTCCGGGAAGGTCCCATCCAAAGTGAGCTGTCAGGACACCTTGAAGGGACCACAGATTCTCGGCCCAGGTATAGAGAGAGGTTGCAAGAAAAACTATTCAACCTCCAAACTCAGCGCATACGAAAGTTCTCCAACTTTCATTCACCAAAAGTGCCTTTTACTTGCAGAAGTGCTCTGCTGGGGTTGCCTGGTATCATGCATGCGAGTGCCTGCCCCAAGAGTCTTTGCGGATTACGGAGAGGGAGACGCACTTGTAGGGGAAGAGGCAAACTTTCCGGAGGCAACACACCCCCAGGGCCGCCCCAGCCCACCCTCGCCGGCCCCGGGCCACCCCTCGGGCCGGGCGGAGGCTGTCTCCGGCGGAGGTGTGCGACCCGGCTCGGGATCCCAGGGCACTTCCGCGCACACGCCGCCGCGCCCCTGCCCT